TGTGTGCGTGCGTGCGTGGCCAGCTCAGCCCACCAGGGGGCGGGGCTGGCTGGCATGTGGTGCTGGGGGATTGAACCGCGGTCCCTGTGCTTTGCTTTGCTCAAGCTTGTTCTAAGTAGGTGCTTTAGACCACTGAGCCATCTCACCAGCCCCATGAACACCATATTTAATGGAGAAATTTATACATAGTTATTTAAGGGAAGAATTGCAACTACTCATTGTGGCACTGAAGGTTCCAACTAGCATAAACAGAAAATAGTGACAGCTCTAAGGAGAAAAAAACTGCCATTACTAAAGGATGCTCAGCAAGTCTATTAGATATAAGATCACATATATAATGATCAATTAAAAAGCACAAAATGATTATTCAAAACAAATGTACAGGATTTCTAGGGAGAAAAATTTAAACCTCTGTTACTACAACAGACATAAAAGACCTGATTACTGACTACCACATTCTCTGATGAGCTATCCTAGTATATAACAAAGCAGGCACAAAACCATGCAAAACATCTTACAAGCTTTTTTGAACATATACACATCAAACACAATTACCGTAAAAAAGGACCTTTTGGGAGGGTAGATGGGAGCAAATATGAAGAAGAAAACGTATTATTAGAGTCCTCATTGAGCTACAATAATGACCAGAATCTGAAGTGTAACTTACTTTTTTTTGTGGAACTGGGAATAAAACTCATGACCCTGTGCTTGCCAGGCAGGGGCTGTGTTGCTGAACTATATATATATCCCTGGCCTGTAACTCACATCTGCACTGCAATCAAAAGAATAAAACAACCAACATATTTTCAAAAAAGTTTAGTGTTTTTTGTTGGAATAATTTGAAAGAAATGTATACAAATGTTAATTCTTTCCAAATTTAAATGAGTTAAATCTCAGGTTTGTTTTTTTTTAAATTAGTTTTGTTTAGTATATATTTAATTTTATTTTTTAGAAGAGTATAAGGAGATTTTGTGTTACTACTGAAAATAACTAAGAAAACAATTTTCTTCTTGAGACAGTCTCACAATTTAGTTCAGGCTGGCCCTGAACTCACTCACTACAATCTTCTTACTTCATTGTCCTAAGTTCTTAGATTATAGGTAGGTGCCACTATCCCTGGCTGAAAACCTCCCTTATTAAATGAACATTAAAACCATCCTACAGGAAGAAAGTATAACAATGGGTCAAAAATATACAAATACAAAGACAATAGAAAATCTTAGCCAAAAAATTCAGTTAAATGAAACACATAACTGATAAAAGTGGATATCTCACAGACAATTCAGAACCAAAAGATTCAATAATACAAACTAAATCAAGAGAACTCTTAGAAGAACATATATGAAATTGAATAATGTAAGGGATGAATGAACCCAGTCTTTGTAAAAAGCTCAAGAAATTCAGAAACCAAAAAAGACAATCAGAGCTGGCCAAATAGCTCAGCACATGCAAGCAGGTGCGGGGATGGGGGTGGGGGGATGTTTCAGATCCCTGAGGCCTATGGTGCCAGCCCTGCCCCCATGGGCACGGTGGTGCACGCCTGTAATCCCAGCTCTTGGGAGGTTGTAAACAGGCAGATCACTATGAGTCCGATCCAATAGTGAGACCCTGAACACCCTGTAGACTGTACCCTAAAAAATATAATACAATACAAAAAGACAATCATCTCTGACATTTCTGTGATAAGGGCTAAATCAACAAAAGAAAGAAAATTATCCAAAACTCACAATTAATTGAGCTAGTATCTATAACATTTAAAAAACTGGTAATAAAACAACTTAATAATTTATATGTACCAAAGAATACTTTATAGTATCTAAATATTATACATAGGAGGGGCCCACACAGATTTGAGACAGGGTTTTACTATGTAAATTTAGGCTGTCCTGGAACTTACTATGTGATACTGTAGAGATCCCCTGGCCTCAACCCTCAGAGTACAAACAGTACAGAGACTGCTTGAGTGTGCCACCACATTGGGCTTACACAGTTCTCTCGTAAGTTAACTTTTAAACAAGAAAAATAAGGGTCGGGCAAATATCTCAGTGGCTTAAAGCACCTGTAAACAGACACAGGGGCCAGAGGTTTGATCCCAGGGCCTGCTGTGCTGGTCCCGCCCCTGAGACACGCTGAGTCAGCGATTAAGACTGGGCATGGTGGTGAGTGCCTGTAATTTATCACTTGGGAGGCTGTAAACAGGAGAAACACTATGAGTCCAATCTAGGAGTGGGACCCTGAACCCCTGTAGACCCTTCCCT